GATATTGAGCCTAAACAAGTTCCAGAATAATCAAAGGATTATAATCGAATCAAAGCAAGGCTAAGGTGAGTGCAATTTAAATTGTACTTATGTGATTGATCAAACATTGGCTTGCGATGAGTCAATGATAGAGTTACTATGGTAAGAAGTAACTTATATAATGTTATGTGATTACTCTGTATGCATTAGTACATAGAAATGGATGTTATGTTTATATGTTACATGATTTACATGCTTACATGAAAATGCAACATATGATATTAGATATGTGTTTACACATACATTTGGTATGTGATAAGAAGAGAATGAACATGTGATTATGAGATCAAGGATTACACGTATATGTGATACGTGACTGAAAAGAAACGGTATGTGTTTATAAGAGTAAGAATATGAATAAGTAATGTGAACGGTCATAAATGATAATGCCCATGTTATGTGATATGAGAGCTAGGGGTATAGTTGGCATGCCAAGGGTCGAGGGTTACCTATGTTCTTCGGGACATATGGACTGTTTACCTATGTTCTTCGGGACATATGGACTGTTTACCTATGTTCTTCGGGACATATGGACTGTTTACCTATGTTCTTCGGGACATATGGACTGTTTACCTATGTTCTTCGGGACATATGGACTGTTTACCTAGGTTCTTCGGAATCTATGGACTGGTCCTTCGGGACATTGATCGAGCTGTTGTGACAGCATAGTGGTGCACAACCTCAATGTACTCACATACCTTGAGTTCTCAAAAGTATACATGGGCTAATACATGGTCTTTACAGAGAGTAAATGGACTAAATATGTTTTGTTGTGAAGTAGTATATGTGTTCCATGGTATGTAGAGAAATGTTCGATATATGTATTTATACGATAAAAAGGTACTAAAGGTATTTATATTATCTCAGGTTATCATGTATACTGAATTATATGCGACTCGATTGAATTCATAGATTGAATGTTTATATTTATGAGAAATGCATTATTGTTATTATGTTTTTGCTTCACTAAGTCTATGACTTAGCGTGTAAGTGATTTACACGTAGGTACTGAGAAGCAGAAGGATCAAAGCTAAGTTCAAAGTAACAACATATCTCTGCCCAAAGACCAGATCAGAAGTAAAGTACACAGTATGTATTATTATGATAAATAGGTTGGCATGTAAATAAAGTAGGCAAATTAGGTAGTATGCTCTGATCGAGTTTTGTAATCTGTTAAACATATATATATAAGTACGAATGCAAAGAAATGAACTGTTAAATGTTTTACGAGTGTTATGTACAATTTACGAAAAATCACTGTAGCAGATTACTGTATTACTGTTCATACCGTATTTCACCGTTCATAAATACGTTTTTCTCAAATTTTTATACAACACACAATTGAATAATATTTGACTGTATTTTCTTAATATAAATTCAAAAGTTCAGTACTTTTACAAGAGTAAAGGTTTTGAAAATGTCAATGTGACATCTCGGACCCGTATTCAAGTTGGGTACGGGTTGGGGTGTTACAGTGGGCGGGTGTGGATTTATAAAATGGTACCCGTCGTGGGTGGTGGGCGGGTAATGGATTTGAGACATTACCCGCCCCGCATCCACCCGCCCCACATCCGCCCGCCCAGTTAAATATCTATTAAATTTTGGATCATTATAAATTTAGGTGTAATTTTAAAGACTAATTTATAAATTTTAATATTGTATAATATATAACATATAATTTAACCAAATATTAAGGATATTTAGTCTTTAATATAGTCTTTAATTAGGGAAATATTCGACTCTTTGATTAAACCCATAATCCCACTAACAACGTCACTTTCCATGTTTTTTAGCCCATGATGCCCATTCAAACACAAATTAGCCGTACTATATGCATTAATATCAAAATCAACAGTTTCCATGTTCTTTAGCCCCTCAAAACCCATATTAGGCGCACTATGAGTATTAACATCGAAATCAATTCAACAATCTAACTCTGCAACTACATACTCCCTACAATCTGTCTCCATAACATTCGTAGAGCCACTCCTTTGACAAATTAAAGCATGCGTTGCTACCCCATCACGAACTGTCTGGAAACCAACTCCAACATCCTATTAGTTTGCTGTCAGGCGAGTCTAAATGGGTATGTCGCTAGTGGATAGTGGGTGTGGGGATGGATTTGAAAATGTACCCGCGTGGGCAGATGTGGATTTGAAATTTGTACCCATCATGGATGGTGAGCGGGTGGTGAATTGAAAAATATTAGGTAAGTATGGGGATGGGATATCCGTACCCTACCCGCCCGTTCGCCATCCCTAGCTTTCACTAGAGAATGTGGACTCGTGGGGGAGGGGTCTGTAAGAAGTCGATAAACATCAGCATTGTCGATCTGCAAGGACACTTGTTTGTAACCCTGACTCCGGGCTAAACGAAGACCTTCGAGAAGTTCAGCCTGCAAAACGTTGGTTTTCCCATGACTGTGATTTGCTTATGAAGAAAACCACATCTGGCTCTTTCACACATAAATGATTTTTTATGCTTAAATGTGTTAAGTGTTGTTTAGATATGGAATAGAATTCATATGTATTTCAAACATTTTTTTTAATTTGTTAAAGATAATATAAAAATTTTCAGCCTATTTTTATCCCTGGATTGACCTATATCAAGATTATATAAGCATTTAATTTTACGAGAATCATGATTACTACATATATAAATATATGCATATTGTTTCGAATTTTTTTTAGAAAATCGATTCGAAACGTAAATTAAAATTTAAAACAAAGCACTCAGCATGAAAAGGACTTTAGAATTTCGAAGATCGGCCGATCTCAATAGGTGTATCGTTTAAAACGTTGCTCAATAATATAGGCTGTAAAGAGTACGATAAACAGCGAAATCTCATTCAGTTTTAGGGGGAAATGGATGCGAATATGAAGTGAAAAATCATCAGAAACATTGGATCAATGCATCAGACAGACACCACACATAGAGGTGTCTCAGACGACCGTCGTGAGAAATTTAATCCAACCTCATCAGCTGATTTTTCATTTCATTTTCCGCCATTTTTCAAACCAAAGGGAAAAAAAACAAACCCGCAGAAAAGAAAAAGAAAAACTAATGGAAAATGCAAGGAGTAGAAGGTCGGGGGGGAATCATTTCTTCAAAATTCGCAGCCGTTGTGATTGCCTTGGGCGTCTTGTGTTCAACGAAGGGTGTCAAGGGCTATTTAAAGAGCGAATTAGGGCTTTCATTGTTCTTTACGGACGACTCTACCGCTGTGAGGCCTGGGCCGGGCTAAACTTCCGTAAAGATCGGAGTTTCTTTTGTTTGGAGCCATGAGTAGAAGGGATGGATATTTGATATTTATATTTTAATTTGATTTGATAGAGTTGTTTAAAAAAATTGGGTAAAGTTGGATTAATTTTTTTTAAAGACGAGATTAAGTTGGATTCTAGTTTTATGGTGAAAATTATTGAATTAAATAACTATTATAATACTCGTCTCTTTGTATTTTATCTATTCTATCCCTATTTTATATAATAAAATTATATATATAAGACATAATCTAATTACACCCAGTGTAAAATTAACACCTTTTAAAAATGTTGGATGAGAGAAATGAATTGTTGAGATTAACAGTAAGAAATGAGAATATATTTACTAAAAAAAATTAATCTCAGTCTTTGATTTCTCTCAGCCAATAGTCTCTTAGTTTTACACTAGGTGTAAATGGATCATAACCACACACACACATATATATATATATGAGTCAAGTCGAATCGGATGCGAGTTTTTACTCTAAAAATTGGGTTATGTATCGGTTGGATAAAACTTTCCTAAATCTGAGTTAGATCAAATAACAAATGAAGAAATATTATACTCAGTTCAAATTTGGGCGGACAAAAAATTTAATTCGATTCATGATCATCCCCAATCATGAATCCTATCTCAAGTTTCTAAAAAAACACAAAATTATTTTATATTTTTTAATAGTATGAGATGATTATAAAATAATATATGTTTTTAAAAAATTTAGTCATTAACAACATATATCTTACAAAAATAACTACTTGAGCTTAAGAGCTTAAAAAAACACTTTTTTTTGGTGAACAAATGACTGCTTAAGCTTTAATTATAATTCTATCGACCGCCTCCCTCTTTGAGGAGAGCTATTATTCATGTTAGTGGTGATGTACATATTTGACACTTTCGATCTTTAATATATATTAATTTGACTATCTCTTTAAACATTAAGACAATTTCATAAAATTTAATTTTGTATAATATTTTAAATGATACAAACATTAAACAAATAAGATGTAATGCATGAATATACCAAATTTGTAATGTATTGAGATTTATATAATATAAACTATTTAAAATTTAATTGAGACAAAATATAATATAAATTTATGGAGTGTCACGTCTATATTAAACTCAATTTTGAAATTTTTAAAAATAATTTTATTTTTTCTTGTATGGAAAATAAAAATAATTTTAATTTGATATTTTCATGATAGATGTGCAATGATAATTTGAAGTTGATAAATATTAGTGTTGATTCGAAAATAACAAGTCCGTACTACTTATACACAAAACTGGGTTCAAACGTATCAAAGGAAATATCTATGTACATTCTGCTCGACTGCAGTACATCCAGCTTCCCAGCAATTTTTTCATGAATTCAGTTGACTCGACCATTTTTATGCCGAACAATGGACGACTCGCTGAACAACTCACCGGATTCTTGGCCATCTCCATGCATTCTCCGGAGCTAATGTACTGACTCAGCTCATTTGACCCCCCTCCCCCATTTAACTAATTGCTTACAAAAAAATAAATAAAAATAAATAAAGGGCGGAATATATCATTTAAAAAACACCAACTTACCCTTTTAATATGGTAAGTAAAATACCGATCATTGACCAGTATCAACTCGGTCAACTCACTGCTTTCAGTTAACAGTTCACTCGAGCTAAATCGAAACTCAGTCAAAAACACCAAGTAAGAATCGAAGCTTTTCCATTTTTTCCACTATATCTTCAATTACCAGCGGACCCACGAAGTAACGGTCGAGATTCCGTTGTCAAATCAAGCTTACTTCTGATTCCCATGTGGCAATTCCGTTTAAAGTCATCGATGTTCACGAACCCGGCAGACCGATCCGCCTCCGACGTGGAAATGAACCGGATCACTTCTTCGAAAACCGACTCGTCGCAGGGGATCGCCAATGGGCCTTGGTTGGTGAACTCGTATTCTTCCTCTGCTTGGATAAGGAGTTTCTTGAAGACGGGATGGTTCAGGTACGTCGCCCTCACCACGAATCGCCTGCAACTAGTCCCGACGCAGACAGCCACGTGACCCGCCGGCACATCGGACGGGGTGCGGCCGGCTGACATGCTAGCCTTGTTCCTCCACCGCTGCAACATCTGTCGAAGCCTCACAATGTGGCGGATTTTGATGCATTTTCTAAGCTCCGCCGACATATTACCGGGAAATAAAAAAGGCTCTTGCTAGTTTGCGTTGAGAATTGAAAGAGTTTGACAAAAAATATATCTCTGGAGTTTAGGATGGTGGAGGATTTTATAAAGGTAAAATAACCTCAGTGACCGAAATTTTTTTATAATATACGATTTTGATCAATATTTTTTCGATTTACTAAAATGACCAACAAAATCGTAATACGATCTCTAAATCGCAACGCGATCTCCAGTATCGCAAATTAGTTTTCAGATTCGCAACGCGATTTTGACAATCGCATTGCGATTTTGTAAAATCGCAATGCGAATATGTAAATCGCAACGCGATTCTGACTATCGCAAAGCGATAATACAAAATCGCAACGCGATAATACAAAATCGCAACGCGATAATACAAAATCGCAATGCGATTTTCAAAGCGCCATTAGTATCGCAACGCGTATTTTATTTTCAAATTCCAAACACGAATATTAATACATCCCGTAATCGCAACTCTTTACCTAAAACCCTAAATCACAACTCAATCCCATCTCCATTCTCACTTTCTACGGTGACATCCGCCCCCATCTCCGACGAAATCCGTCCTCATCTCCGACGAAATCCGTCTATCTCCATCTCTCAGAGCCACCCTCACAATCATTCACGATCAGAAATGAAAAATCAACCAAATCAACCACCGAGGGTTAGTTTTTTTAATTATTTTTATTTTGAAATTTTTGTATTATTATTAGGTTTTTCATAATGAAATTGATGATAAGTTTATTGGTAATTTCAATAATAGATTAACCATTTCACTTAGATTGCTTATTAAATTCATTCGATTGCTGCCAATACTGCTAAACTGTTTAGTCTTTAACCCTGTAAAGTTAGTATTTGTCTTTGTTTTGTGTTTTGGTTGAAGTAATGCAATTCATTCAAGTTTCAATTTTAGACAATGACTATTTGAAACCGAGGATCGCATCGCGAAATGAAAATCGCAACGATAGTCAAATTCGCGTTGCGATTATCTCATTGCGATAGTCAAATTAATGTTGCGATAGTCATTTTCGTGTTGCGATTTTAAGTTTCAGAAACTATTATTCTTCTGCAAATTGAAACTTGAATGAATTGCATTACTTCAACCAAAAAACAAAGACAAATACGAAATTCACAGTGTTGCAAATTTAAGTTTGAAGAATAAACAACTACTACTCTTTATTGTTTTTGGTATATCTTCACAGTGTAGTTTTTAATCTAACTTGGTATGTTTATTGTTTTTGTAGAACTTTTTTTCGGCTCAATTGACCTTAAGGAATAAAATAAGCCTAGTCACTACAATTGCGTCGAAACTTTCACCTGTACAAAGAACATTGTTTGAGGATACTTGCTTCGGGCCATGGCTGAAAGTACAATATCCGGGTGGAGATTCTATGTTGACCCATTTGTGGCTTCAGACCATGACTAGCGATCTACCCGAGAGTATAAAACGTGGTAATGAAGAGATATGGTTTCATTTTCCATCGGCGTATACGTGTTTTGGGCGGGAGGAGTTTTGCTTAATCATTGGTCTACGCTTCGGACACGATGATGTAGGTCGATACACTAGTCATATTACCCGCCCATCATGGTTATCCCTGGTTTTTCCTGAGCTGTCAATGGAGAAGCTGAATTTACACGTCGATGACTTGACGAGATTATTGAATAAGAAAAATGGTTTTACTCAGATTGATGACGTCGATGTTGTCCGAGTATGCCTTTTAGTACTTTTGCATACCGGCTTTTTAGGCAGAGAGGCCAGACAACCTATTCCTAAGGACCTAATATTATTGGTAGAGGACCCAAATGCATAGAACCTATTTCCGTGGGGTTCGTATCTATGGAAAGCTACCTGGAATAAGTTGTCGTCTGCCTTTGATGACCGCAAAAGTTTGCGTAGCGATGGTTCCAAATACACTTTGTCAGGCTTTATTTGGGCCTTTAAGGTAAGAATTTCTATATAATGTTTCCAAAATTATAATTAATTATTTAACAATTACTAATGTTTGTGTATTATATTGTTTTTGTAGATTTGGATATTTGAGGCTTTTCCCGACATACAGACATATGCATTAAAAACTTCAAATGATATTCCTAGAGCTATTTCCTGGAAGAGGAAACGGCGACTGTTGATTTGGGAAGAGTTACTATGGTATACGACAATAAATGATGCAAGTTAATATAAATACTACCATATATATAAACAAGTTATTACTAGTACACGTTTAACTTTGTTTGAGCTTTTATATTGTTCGGAGGCCAACACTCCATTACAGAGGCTGACACCCATGGAGGCTGAGCTTGCCACTGATTGGTTGCAAACTAGTAAGCGTTTTTTTGATGGCACGGATGATGAGCAGCCTCCACTTCGAGAGCCATCACCTCACCCAGAGCCATCACCTGATCGACCACACTATATACCTCTACAACGAGAGCCATCACCTATTCCGTCACATCATCGAGCCTCTTCTCCACTATCACCTCATGATAGGCGACCGACAAAGATGCCACGACATTTATCTCCCTGTTCTTCACCTTCACCTCCACGGGATGAGTTAGGAGAGTTACGTGATGAGGTCAATGCCTTGCGTGAGGAGGTCGGTACTTTACGCGATGACAATGGTGCATGGCGTGACGAGGTATCTACTTTACGTGGTGAGGTAGCGGCTCTACGTGAGATGGTAGTATCGTTGCAGAATGAGGTTCATACTCTACGCAACGAGGTAAGTTTAAGATTTTTCATATTTAACTTGATTTACTCGTAATTTCACTTAGATTAACCATTTCACTTAGATTGCTTAGTAAATTCATTCGGTTGCTGCCAATACTGCTAAACATTTCTAAAATAACCCTGTGAAGTTAGTATTTGTCTTTGTTTTGTCTTTTGGTTGAAGTAATGCAATCCATTCAAGTTTCAATTTGCAGAAGAAGAATAGTCGCAACACGAAACTTAAATCGCAACGCGAAAATGACTATCGCAACGCGGAAATGACTATCGCAACGCGAAGTTGACTATCGCAATGGTATAATCGCAATGCAAAATAAAAATCGCAATGCGAAAATGACTATCTCAACGCGAATTTAGTTTCGCGTTGCGATTTTGGTTTCGCGTTGCGATTTTTATTTCGCATTGCGATTATCCTGTTGTGATAGTCAACTTCGCGTTGCGATAGTCATTTCCGCATTACGATAGTCATTTTCGTGTTGCGATTTAAGTTTCGTATTACGATTTTAAGTTTCAGAAACTATTCTTCTTCTGCAAATTGAAACTTGAATAGATTGGATTACTTCAACCAAAAGACAAAGACAAATACTAACTTCACAGTGTTGCAAATTTAAGTTTCAAGAATAAACTACTACTCTTTATGTTGTCCTTGAACATGCACTAAACCTATATGCTGTCCTTTTAAATGTTTATAAGTGCTTACTTCCGGAATGTTATCTGATACATTTTGTGAACTATGATAGAATAATGACTTGGGTGAATACCGTGCAAGTTTGAAACATATTTGTCTTTGTTTTCACTGTTTAATATCATGTCTGTTTATTTACTGATTTATGTATTAATTTATTTTTAGCGGCCCGATAAGATGGATGCTTTACGTCGGGTTTTTCTTGCACGACGGGGTTCACGCATCAGACGGCGTGCACGTGCCATTACGTCTCCGTTCACCCCAATAGTGCAAAGACTCCGTAAGAAGAAGCCCAACTCACCTGTCATCGTTGAAGAGGCCCCTATCATCCCTCAAGAGTCCTCTCCCACCGTTCAAGAGGCCCCTGTCATCGTTGAAGAGGTCCCTCCCACCATTCAAGAGCCCGATTCATATGGCGTAATATGTCGAATTATTGAGAAACCCCCTCACGTGCCGGACATGATGGATGACTGTTGGCTTTCGTATGAGTTACCGGCCAGTACCATTCCGACAGATGAAGTGGAGAGGAAACACCTACCGGAAACAATTCTGGATAATACCCTTTGGGCTAAGACCGCAGTTGATTTTGATCTATATTAGCAGAACCAAGGGTGTTACGCTGACATATACAAACTCAACGATGATATGCATTTGTTGATTGATCGGTCTTGGTGGGGTGTGTTATTAGGGGTTGAAGACAAAGGCTATTTCGATGGGGGTAAGTCTTATATTTCTTCTTATATTTCATTTTGATTAATTTTTTTTAAATTTATGTAATTCACTAATATATGTCTTTTTTTGTAAAACATCATATTGATGCATGAGTGTCATGTCTTCTAATAGTAGGGAAATTGAAGAAAAATAAAAAAATACGCGATATACAATTATGCCGACGTCTTTTCACGTAGTTCACTTGAAGAATCAACGACAGGAATCATATGTGTTGGCTAATGGACAAGCTAAACTTTATCCTGCATGGTGGGAGGTCGATAATGTTAGTATTTATTTTTTTTAAAATATTTTAAAGGTGTTCATAAATAAGTGCGCAATTTGAATTATTACTTATGATTGCAGGTGTTTATCCCTATTTTGGAACGTACTCATTGGCTTCTCGTCGAGCTTCAGCTCCCATCCCTGAAGACAATAGTATATGACAGCATGATAAATTACATATCATTGTCTGATTTGAGAGATATTATTAAGGGATGGAGCTCTCATTTGGCTAAATTCTTGGATGCGATTAATTATTGGACTTATTCTGGAAACAAGAAGCCAAAGAAGTTCAATGTTACAGTTATCAGAGACGAGACCACGCCACAACAAACGCCGGAAGCCAGAGGGGATTGTGGTCCTCTCGTATGCATGTGCTTGGAGTGTTTGACGACAGGAAGTACACAGTTTCTACCTCCCACCGATAGAGATAGAGGTGTAGTAGGCTTGTGCTTTTGGCATTTTATGGCTAGAGCGATATATGCGAGACACTGCCTACCTGCATCCGCGTTATGAAAGTGTCCATAAACAATTTGTAAGTCAAATACAAGTGTTGTTAAGTACCTAGAATTCAATAATAATTTGCTGTTTGTTGGTTTTAGATGTGTAGAAAGTG